CTCTGAGATAATACGTTTACTGTAACACGGTTCTTCATCTAAAATTTGAAAATTATTCCAATCGAAATCATGTCCTTGTTGTAATCTGGGGGCCTATTACAGTTTTCGGATTGAGTGAAAATGACGAAAGTGAGAAACTCACCCAATTACGGTTAATTTCACCTCGTGAGAATACGAAATTATTCGTGTGAGCGGGCTCGGCATAAAATTTAGCCGTAAAAATATGAAATCACGCAAGAGTGACAAAGAAAGACGCATTATTCTTATTCTATTATTCATATAATGAATAATTTAATGTTTGTGCTTGTACAACAAGAAGAATATAGTAGAAGTAGGGAATGTAGAATAAGAATTCTACAATACGAAGGCATTTACAGATAATGTGTAGTACTTATTAATACTTTTTTATTACCGCTATTATATTGCAGGCGGCTTCGTGCAAAATCTTCATTCATATTCATATAATTTAATAAAATTCTTTTCTGTTTTTCTGTATCGTTGGCCTAACCTCACTAATTATAATAAACTAAACTTTAACCCGACTGCGAATCTGTTTCTTCTTCTTTTGATATAAATGGCCCGGGTTCTCGATGACGAGTAAACTTGGTCAAGTTTGCTAAGCACAGTCGAAGCCGGCAATACTTTCCAAAACTGATGCAACACTCGAGACAAGGCGAAACATCCGCCTCACTCAAGACTTGCGAATTTGTTTCGTTTGGTTTGATTTCGTGAAAATATGAGATTGCTATACCGAAAGTGCCTAGTTATCTCACATTTTTACTCGACAATTCCGTAATTGGCTGACCAAAATCACGTGATACGAAAATGTGAAAAGTGATGAAATTCACCGAAAAACCGTAATAAGCCTTCTATGATCTGTTATCACCGATCTAGATCTGTTTTATTAAAAACATTTTAATATCATTTGCCAGAATTTCCTTTATGTATTTTTCTCGCTTTACGCATCACAATTCAAGCTGTAGTAAGTAGAGGCTTTAATAACTACAAGGATTACAAAATAACTTTGAGGACTACAAAAAAATGTTTGGAGAGCAATTCAAATCACTCAAATCAGTTTTGCTCTATCACCAGTTTTTTAGATAAAATCAAGAAGAATGATGGAAAAGTCTATGAAAATTAAAACATTTGAAAAAAAAGAGAGAGAGAGAGAGAGAGAGAGAGAGAGAGAGAGAGAACAAAAGTAAATATAACACTAAAATGTGATCGCAGAACTGATTTAAATATATTTTAGTGAGTTTGACAATGTATAAGAAACAAAAATAATTTTGCTTTATTAATCAAGGCTAATTCTACAATATGCTTCTTGTTTCCTGTTTCCTGCTGTTTGTCTCTGTTTGTCTCTTACCTTTTTAATCAAGAAGGCAAGAGACAAACAGCAAGGGACAGGAAACAAAAAGCACATTATAAAATTAGCCTTAGTATTATAACTGTCATAAAACAATTCAATATAAAATGTATTGTGCAACAAATAACTAGTCAATCTACACGTAAACTTTTTTCAGCTCCAGAAATGGTTATTTTAATTGTTACTTTTAAAAAAAAAATTAGCTCAGTTAGCCACAAAGTTGGCTCAATATATCGCTATGAATTTACGTGGCACGTATATATAGGAGGTTGTAATATCTAACGGTATAGAGAAAAATTTTTGTTTCTTACACTTCAATAAACTTACTAAAATATATTTAAATCAGTTCTGTGACCACATTTTAATGTTATATTTACTTTTGCTACAGGTTCCTTAAATATTTCAATTTTCACAGATTTTCCATTACTTTTCTTGATTATTATATATCTAAAAGACTGGACGTGAGTGATAGAACAAAACAGTTTACAAATTCGGATACAGTGATTCACACTCACACAAAATCTATAAAAAAAATACCTCTGATTTGAAAATTTCTGAAAATTTCTTTATATTCCTGTGCAAAATTTTTAAAAAGAACAGATTAAATATGAATCTAGAATTGCGAGCTTCGAAATATTAAATCGCGCGCAGTTTCTGCATTCATTATATTTATAGAATAAGCGTGCATTTTACGTTTATAACGGAACACTTCAATACATAATCGGAGTATGCGATATTTAATCGTAGGTTAAATTCTGTGTACACTATATGAATATGGTTCGCTATTAACGGCAAAGTTACGGCGCTCACGTAGTACATATACACACAGCGGTGCTATTATCGGATGGCTTTTCGCGAAATCATCGTTGCAAATGCAAACGACCGCGGCGAGACGGACTATAGAATCTGCGTGTGGAAGGATTGAAAAATCGTCAAATAAACGTTAAATGAGAAGTCGACGAGCGCGCCGTTAAAAATCATCACTGGCGCAATGCGGAAAACGCGAGTACGGAGTTCGTGCGTCGGCTTTCCCTCTCTCTCTCTTTCTCCTCCTCTTTTTAAAAACGCAGTGTTGTGTATATTAATTTTGTTTTCTGAACTCCAGAAAAGTAGTACATTACAGAATTACGTTATTTCAACTGCAGAGAACGTGTTATATATCAGCATTTTAGAAACGTACATAAATAGAAATATATGTATATCTTGAAGAACTAAAAATCCTAATTAACAAATTAATAACATTACGTAGTAAAAGATATATTGATATAAATCTTTTATTAACCTTTGGTCCTTTAATCAATTTGAAATCAATGTCCCAGCTATCATTGAAATTCCACAATGTACTGCAATTATTTTTATCGAGAGACATAGAGTATGGATACATTTCTTTTTATTGCTCCTTTTATGCTTTCTTTTTATCGCTTCTAATTTAATATGTGGACCACGTTGGCGTCGCTAATTATGAACTCCAAGCACATGTCTGTATATAGCTATTGTAACGACAATTTCGTGACAATAATAATAATAGTGAAGCGATATAATGTCAGAGATTACAGAGTATTCCTTCCCATTTTTTATGCCCCTAAAAAATTGTTACGGTAGAAAATATATTTTTGCTTTAAAATTGACGGTATAAATTCAAGGATAAGTAAACTTTTCTTCTCGATATTATACATGTTTTTATAAGAATGTACTTCTCTTGACGTAAAATATTTGAAACTCAGATTGTACATAGGTACAGTGCGAACTTCTAAAATTAAAAATTAAACACATCTATAAGGAAAAATATAGACTGTATTAGAATACATCACTTATTATTAAAATTGCACAAATAATGATGTAAAAACTTTGAAATATTCAATTCTTACGTTTTGTGCAAGTGTAAGGGTTCGTCCCTATTGAAGTCGATCGGCCTATTGGCTTCTTTTTCTATTTTTATGAAATAAAGAAACCAATATTGGCACGATTGACTTCAGTCAGGGACGAGTCCTAAGGAAACAGAATTGCCACATCGATCGTACATTATTGTCATATGATTACCGCAAATGAACGAATGTTCGCCATAAAAGCCAATTAATACCATAGTGCCACTTATAAACGCGTACCTTTCTCGAACAATTGAAAGAAGCTTTATATCGGCACCGCCGACCATCATTCATACACGCCTGCGGGGAAAACGTATGAACGCGAAAGAATTAGCGGCTCGATATCGAGCATCTAATTGGTAAACGATTAGGAATAAACGAGTTGATGCGCGATGACGATTTTCTTCTCATATGAGAGAGAAAGATAAAGAAAATACGTATGTATCCGTTTTACTATCCGCCTAGCAACCAACTGTTCGTCGAGTCTGTCCAATATCTTGAAAGGAATATAATCGGATGACGAGCACCGTTAGACAGACACATTCGTATACACACATTCAGGAAGTAAGCAGTGCGACGGATATGCGCGATTTTAATCCGGAAACGCGACGTCGTGATACGACCGCCGAAATGCAAGATTATTACGGTTGCGAATCACTACACTATTAATAGGATTGCCATAAAATTGGAAATCGAGAAAATCACAGAAATTTCAAGAAAATTGGAAACAGGAAAATCAAAGAAAAGTAATGGAATTTTATAAAATTTTCTGGAAAATTAAAATTCTTGGTTTTAAAGAAGTTTGACATGCATACATTACATTTACACAATTTTGGAATACTATTAATTTAATAATTAATAAGCAAATAGTATCAGTAACATTAATAGTAATTTACATTGCTATGTTAAATTGCCCAGTCAAATATTTACTCGTTTCCAAATTAGAAAAACAATAAAATTCGAAATAGTATTGAAAATCGGGAAAAATCATGAAATTTTATCTATAAATCAAAGAAAAAGTATGAAATTTTAAGATGAAAAATGTTTGACAATTTTGATTAAATTTATAATATCAAATTATACCCAATTTTTAATCGTTTCTGTATAGATCGCCATTGCTCCTATCCAACATATACATATGTGTATATATATATATCATTAATTTAAATTAAAACAATTTAATTCAACAAAATGTATTAAATTTGACGCAAATGTAGCTTATTATTTACTGAATGCATACATTAATATGGATGAATTTAAGCTAATGATTTTGAAACTAATCACAGAAATGGATTGATTTTAAAAACACATGGAAATTGAAGATAATAACAAAATGTTATTTAGCTCAAGGGAGTTTGGATTATGTTCCTTTAATATCTAACAATGCGCAATTGCAAAATGCGTTTTCAACCAAGCTTAGCATGCCATTCATATCGTTAATGAACTGTTATATTCGATACGTGATTAAATCCCTTTATTTTCACAGGGATATAATAATTATTACAATATAATTATAACAATAAACACGTGTCTATCAGCTATAATCGTACACATATGTGCATTAATGCGTGCCGTTAGACTGATAACGCGTACCGAAGTCTCACGTGTGGAATTAGCCGTATTTTGCGTAAAGAAAGCTAAAGAGGGGTCTTTTCCATTTTATATCCCCGCATATGTGTGACTCATGTCTTTTTCCGTTACCAAAAATGGTCATAGCAAAAAGCATATAAGATATTGCGAAACTCTAATTATGATCAAAATGAACTTACCTTTCGCGAGGCGATTCAAGATGAGATCCTTATGTTGTGCGGTATGAGGCTCAGGAAGCACCACGAGAAGGTAGCAGCCACTCAAGGGCGACGGTGGCGGATGTTGTTGCGGTTGCTGTTGAGCGGCCGTCTGCACCGGTACGGAGGTGCCGGTGATCGGCGTGTTTAGGGATGCAGACTGCTCGACGTTTGTCGTTGTAGCGCTTTCTCCTCCCCCTCCCCCTCCTCCACCCTCCCCGGTAGGATCCGTGGTACTCATTGCTGTAACATCATACATATGTATTGTGAGATATCTTCGGAAAATAATATTTTCTATAGTAATTCTCTACGTGCAAAAACGGTCAATGAATAATCTTAGAAACCCTGTAATAACAAGGAATCTGACACAGCCAATAATTGATCTTACAATTACAGATCCTTCAATCAGATCTAATTATAACAAGGGGTCTGGCATTTTTCGTTAAAATCGTACGAGTGAGAGAAGTGTTATATCTCACTCTGCAGTGGTGCGAGAGAAAAAAGATATGTGTTATCCAGGAATGGGAAAGTTACTTTGTAAAAGTAATTAATTACAGTTACAGTTTTTCCTTTCAAAAAGTAATTAATTACCGTTACAAGTTATTGACACTGAAAAGTAATTCGTTACAGTTACAGTTACTGAAGAAATAACTTTAAGTTACTTTTAAGTTACTTTTTCATCAGAATTTTCATTAATAGCATCAATACTAGGGCTGCAGAAACGTTACCCAACTGCCTTCGTGTATCGTTTTACTCTTGTTTTTCACCTAATATTAAACAAGAATGATACACAGGGTCATCAAAGTAATTAGGACAATTTTTAGGGATGCAGACTGCTCGACGTTTGTCGTTGTAGCGCTTTCTCCTCCCCCTCCCCCTCCTCCACCCTCCCCGGTAGGATCCGTGGTACTCATTGCTGTAACATCATACATATGTATTGTGAGATATCTTCGGAAAATAATATTTTCTATAGTAATTCTCTACGTGCAAAAACGGTCAATGAATAATCTTAGAAACCCTGTAATAACAAGGAATCTGACACAGCCAATAATTGATCTTACAATTACAGATCCTTCAATCAGATCTAATTATAACAAGGGGTCTGGCATTTTTCGTTAAAATCGTACGAGTGAGAGAAGTGTTATATCTCACTCTGCAGTGGTGCGAGAGAAAAAAGATATGTGTTATGTTATCTCACTTTAACTAATGCGAATTGACAAAAGATGTCAAATCAATCTTAAGTTACTATCTTATGTCTAAACTTTGATCTTAGAGGATCTCTAATTGGTTTACAAAGAATTTCTTTTTTAATCAATTTGAACATCCAGATATGACAATTTTGATTGAACCGGTGAACACGCGATAAAGCAAATAATAATTATAGATAATTTGGATATCGACTGTCTACTGATCGCTTAACAGGTGAGCAGTTACTTCACTATTATATTGTATTGTACATTATTATACTGTAGCTACACTTTCTCATTTAAATCTAATCGGCCTTTTAAGCGCCGCGCCACTACTTAATCTTCTTTTCACGACGGCTATTCAATCAAACTGACGCGATATACTCAGCTCTTAAATCTGAAATAGCCGAAATCATAATACTTAGAGTAAGCGAAAAGAAAATTACGTTATCACGATGAGCCTCGCATGAAAGGAAATATAAAATAAAAAATGACTCTAATATCTTTGTATACTGAAATACCACGTAATTACTATAACTTATGTTCTTCATTTGAATTCTCACCTAAATTTTTCTTTACAAAATTTGCATTGATATGTCTTCTCGCTATCATGAATTTTTTTATAACGTTTTAAATCCCATTTTCGTTTGAAGCCTTTATCACACACTTCGCATATGTGTGGCATAACTTCATTATTTATGTCTTTTTTATGTTGATTCGAAGTTGTCGGGTGTATAGGAACTTTTATTTCAAAATTACATTCATGAGACACGACATTTTGATCCTTATATTTTTTTTGAACTTTTATCCTTATTATGTTTTAAAATGATGTGTCTATTCAGATTATATTTTTCCCTGCAAAACGACCGTTGCAAAATTTATTATCTTCTACCAGTTAATTTAATCACATTGATATAAGTTAAATTTTCATATTCCGTTAAGGAAAAGCTCCGGCTTAACGTTATCATGGCTACCATTACTCTTTATTAGTGTAGATACTACGCATGGTGCTAATTGCAGTTAACACATCTAACGCGGTCAACCGAGATAAAGAACGAAAGCTCTAGTCGAACGATTCACTATCGCTCTGATTATTCGTTAAATCTACCTTTGCCGGGCCATCGTACCGTTCTGTCTAACAAATGGCTTCGTACGCTCATACGGATGCTCCATCTGCACTGCGTACGAAAGATGGGAGATGAAACGGAGTCGGAGCCGAAATAGAAGTGGCAAGGGTCGAGGAGAAGCGTAATGTCAAGAGGGTTGGCGGTACACAAAGCTCCGCTCTGCCTCCTGCCTCGCTCCTATTCTTTATGTCGAAACGCGGCCGTAATTCCTCCTCCATACAAACGGCATAATCTCGATATTACCCTTTTAATACTCGCTTTATGGTCGACAAACGTATAATGCACTGGGGAAACTTTATAACGAATGATCAATCGTTGAAAACTCTCAGCGAACTTCTCCAGTCGTGGCCGACACAATACAGAATTCATGAACGATCTCATTTGTTTCACAAACCTGCGACTACAAATTTGAGAAGGAGAGACACCGGTTCCACTTAAGTCAATTCCGAGAAATCCGTACGATGCCTATTGTTGATACAAACTTTTGAACAATTCCCGCGACAAGAATGGTTTTCGGAGTTTATTTCTCAATGAGCTTCAAGTAGTTCATTCTTCTAACCATCTACGACAATTCTCATAGCAATATATGTTATATATCTATACATTCGGGGATATACCTATACGCGTACAAGAATTCGAGTGGAAATCAAGTATTACTAGCCGGTCGCCAAATCGAAGATCTCAAGGCGAATGCTGCACACGGGCGGCCCTGCGCACTTTTCTGCAGTTAAGCCGAACGTCGATGAGATTCCCGTCGAAACCTTACGAGCGGCCGAGCTTTTTCCGTAGAAAGGGAAATTAGTTTTCCGGGAAGGGGGAGCCTGGGAAGCCTCATGTATTCACTGTGGAATTTACGGGTCCGCGGAATTTCCAATATTTTGCGATCGCGGTTGGAGGATCGTCGGAGAACGATGCAACGAGGAAATTGCTGCCTCGTCGACGAGTCGGCGCCGTGGTCGCATCGCACGCACGCACGTCGGCAAAGCCGGCATTGCGCAGGAATTACAAGAACCCTCTGCGTACAGCACTATTACATCCTAACGGGCGTAATGCGCAGGACGGGCACAATGCCGGGTGCTCCGCATAGTCCTTAGATCATTGATCCAAATTCGACTGGAGTCAACGAGGGGAACAGCCGAAAGTCTTACGTAGCCGAATCGCGATCGATCCATGCGAAATATACTTTGCTCATGAGGGGATGATACCGGTATCCTCTGTTACACCAGTATAGATAGCACTGTCGATAAGGTTTACCTGTTTGCCTCCTATTAATCAAAAGATCGAGAAAATATCGAATTACGAATTATTATTCAATACCGGAAGTAATAAAGATGATCGAACTGATGATGGCAAACGAGAATCGATGGCATCCCGGTGAAACTTTCGGGACGAAACCACCCCACCACGTATCGTGCACTGCAGTGCAACCCCTTAGTAACAGATCGCCCCCTCTCGCGAGGCACCCGACGATAGCGATGACGGCGGCAGTGGCGGCGGGCGGTGTACCGACCGATAAAATCCATACGTCAGGTGAGGAAATCATCAGCACGAATTTCGTCAGGATTACATACGACTCAACCGTTCGTTTGTCCGTCTGTCCGTCCGTCCATCGTCGCCTGACCTTCGTGACCTGGTTAAATGATAGGTCGCCGACACGTAGCGGATTTCGATCGGTTCGAGTCTATCGAGCCCTCGACCAAGTTTCCAATATAGTAATAGCGTACTCACTTGGTTACTCGTTATACTCTCCCCCAGCAATATTCCTGTGGGTACCACGAGCCGGGGTAGCCTCAACGAACCGAATTCCAAGTTCCGGAAGTATCCTGGAGGGCTGTTACCACTGCGGTAATAGGCGAACGATGACGTCGTCCGCGACTAACGAGATGTTCCTCGGAGGAAAGGGGTGTCGCGCGTTGGAGACTGTCCAAGTTGTTTGTCCCTTCGTCCGCTTTCTCGAGGCCCAATGGGAGATGGAGCGGAGCACACCTCTCTCGCTCCTTTCGCACACCGCGAATGGGCACGGGCAGATGAGTGGAGGTGGTTGACAAGGGATGAGAAAAGTGCAGTGGGGGGGGGTGGGGGGGGGGAGCAGGAAAAGTAAAGATAAGTAGTAGGCAAGGAAAGAATAAAAGAGAGACAGGTTAGAACAGAAAGAAGAGAGCGGAGTGAGAGGAATGATAGAACTCGTGTGAAGCACAGTGACGTACGTTTGACGTTATACGTGTCTCTATGTATCGAGGCGAGTACAGCGGTGCTACAACACTTCGGGGGTGTCCCGAAGACGACGGAGATTGCAAGCGGACGGGCGAGAGACCGAACGAGAGAGAGGAGGGTCCGAGAGATAGAGAACTATACGCGGAGACCGGCGTAAAGAGATCGACGGACGGCCTCCGACGGCGAACGACGTTACGTTGTCCAATGCGGAAGCCTCTCCGTCGTCGAGTGCACGTCGGAAAACGTATACGGACGCGAAATCCTCCTCTCTCCTCGACGGGCCCTGTCCCCTGCTGTCGACGGCGACGACGACGACGTGTGACGATTCTCACAGTGCTTGTTGCGGCCTCTCGGTTATCAAAGCTCGGCAGCAACACTCGCGTTGCGGGCTGCCGGCTCTCTGACGGGAGAACTCGCGGCGCTGCGGCCCCCTGCGTCGGCGGCGATGACGACGGCGGTGGCGGTGGAAAATCCTCTCACCCCCCCAGTCGCGACGCACCTACCAACACCCCCACTAGTCGTGCGGCGCGATTGGTCGTTCGCGCAGCCGGTCCTACTATCGCCGCCGTCGTCGCGCCGGTCTATACACCGTCAGGGACGATCACCACGTATAGAACGCTTCTGGGTATATTGTACGTGACCGAAGCTTGTCTGGGTGTCGCGTGAACCGAGTGGCAAAGGCAGTCGCGCGGGGAGGCCTGGGAGGAAAGGCG